TGAATTTTACAGAAATTTTTATACACAGCTCAAATATATTCTTCGCGTCTCTTTTAATTAAAAATCTTTTCTCTCATCGAATTAGCTTTGTCAGATGGACAATTTTTCTGTTATAAATTATGTGTTCCTCTCTAGCCCTTTATCAAAAAATAGTAAGCAGCCCAGCTGGTGAAAACTACTAATTTAACAGATTTACCGCTGTTGCAATGAAAATAAACTTAGTTTTCGAAATACATTTCTTGTCTCCTTTCTTTAAGCAGAATGTATCCGCTGCGTGAAGAAAAATTATGCCAAACTATACTAACCACATCAACTGAATGCAAAAATGATTTATTTTTTTTAATTTTAAAAAAAACTTTTAAATATATTGATATTTGATGAATTAATTTAAAAGTATGAGGTTCGAAATTCGAAAATTTGGTGTTCGATTACCTTTTCGGCACTTGTTTCCCTCTTTTTGCTTACATTTTATTTTTAATGAACTTTTTAAAAATAAAAATAGGTTTTATATTAATTAGATTTAATTGTAGTTTATAAAGCGAAACGTTACTTTCTTATTTTAAGTTAATTTCGGAAATTCAGCTACAATGTTTTTCTTATAAATTTTTTAAGTACCCGATCAATTCTAGGAGCCACTGTATGAATAAAATTTCAAGCCTACTTTGTCTAAAAAGAATTTTACTCCTTTTTGGGACAGTTTTTAAATTTATTTTTGCTCTCGATACTGAGTACGGAACCTTCTTTGAGGTATAGAAAAATACCTGTAATTAAACTTACTTAGGTTTTCCAGTTAGATTTATCTAGTTCAAAACACTTGAATAAAAAGTTTTTCTATCAAACTATTTGAAAAAGTCAAAAAAGGAAGGAATTTTTATTTAAATTAATAATAAGTTTGTATTAAAAAATATATAAACTGCTTTTAAAATTGAAGGAAAAAAAATACACTTATAAAATTTTAATCCAGTCATTTCTTAAAGATACTGTTTTGGTGAAACAAATATTTATGACAATTCCCCATAAGGCATTTCATTACAGGAACCAATCTTATTTTTAATTTTCTTACGTTCCACAACACAAGGGGTCACTTAATAAAACAACACACATCTATTAAAGTAGTTATAGGAAAATAGCTTAAGGACTAAAGGAGGGAAACAGGCATTCCCTGACTCCAAGTGTACACGACTTTCTCCGGGGGCGATCCAGGGCAGAAGAGCAGGAAGAACGAGTTCTCCCTTCTCAAGAGAACAAGTAGTGCCCTCTGGCTGTCGCTAATCGTCAAGGGAAGGCAGAACTTAAATGTAGCTGTTACATATTTATTATAAATAAGGAAATTGATATATTTAATTGGTGAATTATCATTTGAAAGTAATTTAAAATACTAAAAAAAAAAGAAAAAGAAAAATTACAAGATACTAACACTTAGATCCTTATATTAAACTTGGTTACTGCAGAAAAACCTTATACTTTATTTACTGAGAAATAATATGAGTATATCTTTTTAATAAAAGGAGCACAAAATAATTCACTAATTCATTCTCAATCAAAAATGGTGTCAGAAAACAGGGTAAATCTATGTTGACATAATAAAATCATCTGTTCCATAAGTGGAAACGATAATTGTAGACAAGGTACAGCTATGTCGATACAATAAAAATGTCAGCTTCCTAAGCGAATACGGTATCCGAAGACAGAGTAAAGCTATGTGTCAGTGTACTATGTGGAAAAGGTGTCTGGAGACAGGGTAAAGCTGCGCGTCAGCTTCCAAAGTGAGAACGGTGTCTTAAGACAATGTGAGAATACCCATCAGCTTCCTAAGTGGAAAAGGTGTATGAAGATTGGGAGAAGCTTTGTGAACACGATAAAAACATCAGCTTCCTAAGCGAATTCGGAATCAGAAGAAAGGTTAAAGCTATGTGGACACAATAAAAACGTGAGCCTCCTAATCGGAGACGGTTTCCGAAGACAGGGTAAATACATAAAAGACCTAAAAATCCTAGGTTAGAACGGTGACCGAAAACAGGAAAAGGGAAGCTTTGATACAATCGGCACGCAATTGTACAGTATTGGTGAGTTGGTTTTTTTTATTTATTTCTCGACAGTTTATAATGCATCAGCAATGGAATCTTCTATAATTTCATTAACAGATTTGTAAGTAAAAGACTTTGAGTTACTGAAGGCTGTAAAAGATATTAATATCCCTCCCCAAATTAATAGATTTTCATTATGCCTAATAAACATACTTTAAATATTTTCTAGAGCTCCAGCAATAACATTTAATTCAAAAGTTTTTCTGCTTTTTTTTTTGTAGTGGAACATGGACATGAATTTTAATAACTCGTAATACATATTTTTACTTCGATACTTGTTAACTATTTTGATTTTTTATTTCTTACAGTTTATAATGCTCTGGCAATAATCTTATAATTTCAATCATAGATTGTAATAATTTTGACTTTTGAGTTAAAGCTGTTAATATTAATATCCCTCCCAATTAATATGATTTTCCATTATGCTAATAATCCATATTTAAAAGGCAAGTTAGAAAAATAACATTTAATTAAAAGTTTCTGCTTTGGTTGTAGTGAATATTGACGTGAATTTCAATAACTCGAATACATATTTTACTCGAACTTTTTAATATTTGAATATGGTCATTGATGCGCACTTAGCTGGCCTGTGTAAGAATAACATTTCGAACAATAATGCAATATATTCTCGACAGTATTAACGTCATTACACGGCGGTTTAGTATGATTCGTCCACTGAAACGATCCAGTTTTCGGATACGCATTAGAAATAATATTTTATATGTATAGACGCATAAACATTTGGGAAGAACGGGACTTTAAAGGAGACAACTGGTACATATCCTTATCCACTTTCAGATGAACATATGAAAAGAAAAAAAAACCTATTGCTGGAATAATAAGAGAAAATAAAAAAGAAATTCCAAAATAACATATAGACGGTATACAAGCTCTTCAATGAAATAACTTCATTAAAAGATATTTTTCCTGGTAATAATATATAAATCAGAAATTATAGTGAAAATGATCTAACTCCCTGTTTTCCCAATTTCGCTCCAGCATTAAGAATTTTTTTAACCTAACCTGTTTCTCTGATATAGCTTCCGGTGAAAAAAGTTTCAGTAAATTAAAAATCATTAAAAATTACTTGAGAAATAATATGACACAAGAAAGACTTTCAGATTTGGTCATAATCTCAATTGATTCCGAAATCAAAGAAAAAACTTATTTAATCGCGAAACTATTAACAAATTTGCTTCTCAGAAAGCTAGAAAAGTTATTTTATAGTTACAGTAAAATCTGGCGTATAACACGCCCCTACACACATTCGTCGTATAACACGCATTCCCTTTTTTACGAAGAAACTTAAAATGCATGTGCGCAATGATCTTATGTTTTGAAGTCCTTTATTCGAGTATTATTCCAAGCTTAGGTAAAATAGTGTACGCGTTCAGAACTACAAAAAACCCTTTAAGTTCATAAGAAATGTTATTTCTTTCACAGAAACAGTATTTCGATGTATGTAAAAGTCTGATCTTTTTCTATGCTCATCTTTTTGTATTTTTAAAGCTCTCATTTTTATACCTGGCGTTTTCCGCGCACCCGTAAATTTCGATCTTATTTTTTGAATTAAAAGTGCGCGTTATACACCGGATTTTATGGTATAGTTTATTACTTAGACTCAGTGAAGGACTGATTTATATACTTTTCGTTTCACGAGATGTGCGCCTTAGAGAGTATTTATTTTTATTAGATTGTATTTTTTGAGTAAATTCTGTTGTTTTGCATTTATAATTATAAAATGTTTATTTTTATTTTAAAGGTTATATTTTTGTTAGAGTTTATATTATTTTATTAAATTGTTTTGTCGCTATTATAACTCATTACCTGGCCAAAAAATGAAGTTCTGAACTTCAAATTTTATTTGAGTTATTATTAATGTGTTTTACTTTTTATTCTTATATAAGTATATAAGTTTTTAACATCAACGGTAAGTATTAGTCAAAATATGAAAAGTTCTCTGGGGGCACATTAGGTATTTGCACGAGGGCGGCCAATACCCTAGGATCGGCCCTGGCTTAACCCTCTCGCTGAGCACCCACGATTTCCACGGACAAAGTATGCGTAGCAAAGGTAGCAATACGCAACGAGAGAATGTACATGAGGCTATTATTATATTGCCTTTAATTTTGTTAAAGACTTTTCATTTTCTAACACAATAATTCGTTCTTAAGATCTGTGCGCTAAATAATGTATAATTTTATTTTTCGAATTTTTTATTCCGTTTATAATTAATTAGCTCACAGTCCTATTTACGAATAATTCGATTCCTTAATTCGATTTAATTTAAAAATTTCCATTATAATGCATTCTTATTACTTCAAGGGTTCCTCGAAGTGGAAGATTGCTACAATCTAAAAATAAAAAATAAAAAAAAGTGTGTTTGTACTTATGTACGCACGTAAGAAGTTATACTTCTTTGGCGTAACAAAATTAAAATCCTTCTAAAAATCTTTAGCAGGGCAAGCTGGGCCAAGGACGAAAGGCGGTCACGAACAGAGTTGAACGATACTAACCTTCAGTCAATCGGACCAGCCAAACCTGAGATAATCACGATTTAAATAAATTTAAACACCCTCGCTCAGGAACAATAGGACCAATAATATGGGAAGGGGGTCGAAGGCGGGAATTATCTGTCCCGTTCTGCATATTTCTAGACAAAGCATTTTCGTATCCGTTCCTACGGAACGCAAAGCAAAGGTTCGCTGACGCGGGGGTATAGCTGAGTGGTAGAGCATTCGACTGCGCAAGATCTCCGGTTCAAACCCGGAGGCTCCCTTCTTCAGGGAAGTGAAGAGAAATACTTTTCTGAGAAATTCGAAGGCGGTAATGATCTGTACCATTCTGCATATTTCTAAGCAAAGCATTTTCGAATCCGTTCCTACGGAACACAAAGCAAAGGTTCGCTGACGCGGGGGTATAGCTCAGTGGTAGAGAATTCGGCAGCAGATCGGGAAGTCTCCGGTTCAAACCCGGGTGTCCCCTTCTTCAGGGAAGTGAAGAGAAATATTTTTCTGAGAATTTCGAAGGCGGGAATGATTTGTCCCGTTCTGTATACTTCTTGACAAAGGATTTTCGTATCCGTGACGGGGTGCGCGCGCATTGTAAAAATTTACCCTCATCCTATTTCTCTAACGCCCCAAAAGAAGTATAACTTAAAAAAAAAACATTCTATACAATACTTTGAAATAGTAATTTAAAGGGATCCGTTTCCTTTTTCACATTAACTTAATTTGCTTTATCAATAATCAAACAGACTTTTAGTCATTTTAGTAATTCTTTCCGAGAAATAAACGATCTGAAATGACAAACAGAAAAATCGTAATCTTGAATTACTGTTGACAGCTTTCAATTAAGGTATTCGACTACTTGCGACAACACTTTTCTTAAAAAATAGAGATATGGACATCTTTTGTGGTTTTTAGATTTATTTAGTACATTTTAAGAAAAAAAAAGGCTAAAATTAAGAAGAAAAAATAAATTATTATACTAAAATGGGTAAAAATTGACAAAAATTACATAAACTGGGCCCGCTCTGTACAAATAGTAAATTAACAAATTGTCAATTTTTCAATTTTAATGTATTACTTTGCTGTTCTCTTTTGGAATGACCTTCAGAATAAGAGATATTTTAGGTTTTACACAAATACTGGAGAACTTTATCTTAGTTATTATATGAAATTGCTTAAAGAAACCTTGATTGCTTATGTATTCACATAAGGGACTGTAAATTTTGTAATAAAAGAGTGAGATTGATAAATCTGAAGGTTAAAACACCTACTGTTATACAGAGCATAAACAAAAAATTTCAACAAATAATTTTAAAATTTTTTTGAGGAATCGCTGCTCCCGTTTGAGCTTTTCGAAAAAAACACATTTCGAGTAAAAAGCATTTTACTAAGACGCTTGCAGTTTTTGTTCTAGTGAATGGGGAGAGAGAAAAATATGAGAGTGTACAGTGTGAACACGCGGTAGAAGTTAACTTCTTTGGCTTATATGTATTGAATTGTATAATAAAGTTTTATTTTAAAGTATATATATATAATCTTATATATATAATTATATAACAAAGCTATTATTATCATTATTATTTCAAATTGTATTTAAAAAAATTATTAGGATGGAAAAGGTATAAGAGAGGAGAGAGTATAAACCAAATTTTCATTTTCAATGCATAATACTAAAAAAAATTTTATTGCATACATTTATAGAAAAGTATAATTATTATTAATCTATTTCCATTATGCTTATGGGTGTTTCAGTACATACTTTTGGTATCAAAGGCTTGTGGTAGCTAAAATAAGAAATTTAGGTTTTGCACTCAATATCATTTAAGAATCTCGAAAACACTGCAACAATCGTAGTATTTGATTTTGTCGTTGATGTTATTCTGTTATTATGTAGAAATAAGGCGAAATTGCCTTTTTGCGTTTTAATTTTTCACCTGTTTGAGGTAAATCTGGAAACTCAAGCCATGTTGTCATAACAAACCCTTCATCATATGTTTCTACATGAATTAGCTTTCCAATTGCACCATTTGCCAATCCATCTGTCACATCAATATTTGTGATAATTATGTAATAAATATTATTCACATAAACTGTTTGATTAGGCAATCCATTTGTATCAATTAATGACATCTTATGTAATTTTTGACGTACGAAAGTTCCTTGTTCTTTTAAAGTGCAACCAATATATACATCTTTTGCAGTTGAAGTTATTTTGTCCACATAAGCATTCAATATTTTATTATTATACTCATTAACGGAATTGTTAGTGTTGAATAATCGTATACCTTGAGGACACCTTGCTTCAGCTTCTTCCACAGTACAAAAACAAAACTCAATCAGAGCTATTTCCATTTCATCAAGTTGTTCGCCGTTTCCAACTTTTGTAAGTATAGAAGAAAATTGTTGATTCGCTTGACGCATGACTTCATTTAGTTTTGACTTCATTTAAATTTTAGATTTCTTCATAAAATTGGTCCAACGATAGTCTGTTTCGGTTGCTTATAGATGGGTGTAGGACGAGCTGGTGGCAATTGTGTGTGTGTGTGACATAAATCTCCTATTGAAATAATATCTAATCCACTAAAATTTGACTGAAAATTTCCAGTTATTTGTTTTAATCTGGAATCAACCTTCAATAACGATTGAGCACTGATCATACTTATCCCATCAATGATTATGACTTATGTATTTGAAAAGAGTTCTGTTTTTTGAGCAGTTTTAAGTAATCTTGATAAAGAAATTTTTAAAGTTTTAGAACAGTAGTTCCGAAATAGCTACGCTTCTTCCAACTTGAATATCCACATTGTCCGTATAGCGATTATAAATTTCCCTCAAAAATTAATGACAAAAGTTTTACCGGGAACCCGGAAAAAAATTTAAAAAAGGAGTTCGATATGATGATAAGAGATGCGAAATAACATGAAGTAAAAAATCCTTTTTGTTTTTCGTTCGACGTTCTCATTAATTGATAGAAATCATCATTGGGCATTAAATTTTCTCTCTTTTTTTGCAATAGGTCCTAGATTAAGTAATGTTGCAAGATAGATACCTTTATTGAAACAAAAATAAAATTTTCATTCGTGTTTTTTTTTACTCGCCAAATTCGGTGATTTTCATTTGTTACAGTCTCCAGTTTTTCTAATGTAACTCTTGAGAAAATGTCAAGTGGACGTGGTGAAGCAGAAGTTGATTGCCCACGCTACCCACGATTTTTAAACTTGATATTTCCAAACTCGTCGATTGCTCTAGTTAAATTTCTACCTCTCTGATTTCCATCTCGGTCGTGGGGTGTGTAGAAGTGGTAGAGTAAGCATTGGTATGTATAATTACTAAATATTATCCCTTTTAACCCCCCTCCCCAAAAACAAGAAGGGTTTTCTTTTCATTTCTTAAAACGTAGTTTACGGTATTGTGATTCGGTATTTACTGTATTTACGGAATTCCTTCTAAAAAGCCCAGTTTAGTTGGAGATAATTGGGAGCTCCACAAATCAAATAACAAAAACTAAACTCTTACATCATCAATAATTAGTTTAAAGATTATCGGAACTCAGTGATTTACAATAAAAAAGTTTATAATAAAATGTACTTTTCATCATACTGTGACCATGAAAGGAATATTGTCGAATTTTCATGTGCAAATAATGTATTATTTTAGTTTTTAATTATATTGGAACCATTTTGATAGTGGGGTTCGATGTACAGTCCGTTGTACACCCAGGTGGGTGTCCTGTCCCCGACTTCAAGACCAAGACCATTATATTGACCCAGCCACAATGGAACATTTGGTCAGTGAGTGATTGAATATTAAAGTAGCACTGTCAATCTACTTAAGGGCTTTTGGTGACGAACCTTGTAATTTTGAACCATGGTTAAGTGATGAGAATTATATATCTGAGCTGGCACGCCTTTTCCTTACTTGCACACCATTTTGACAGGATGACGTTTGGACCTCGATATAATTAACGTGCATGGGTCCCCCTCCACATCGGATCTTCACCGGTACTAGGTTCGAACTCACGATACGCCAACCATGAGTCCGTTACCTAGACCATTAGGCTACAGCGGCCTCATAGAACATTCAGGTGATTTCGTTAAAAAACCAATCAGAGAAAATGTTTTTGTCATGAAACAAAACCACTTTTTTTGATGTTTTCAAAAAAAAGAAAAAAAAGACAAAATACAATTTTTTCCCCTTCTTCGTTAGCAAATAAACCATAAGAAACGGATAATCCATAAGAAACGTGCTATGTAAGTTATTGTTTTTATTTGTTGAATTAACACATGTATGTATAAATGTTTTTATTTGTTGAAAAAACACATGTATGCAAAAATAGATTGTTTTTTTTTACTATTTAAAAATACAGTTAAATGTTCAGAAATTAGTCAATTTTTTTGAAAATTTGCCGGTTTTAAAAAGGGCCGGTTCTTTTTAAAAACCGGATTGTATATGTAAAAAAAGTCGAAAATTTTAAAAGTTAAAAAATTTGCCCTTTTTGGAAAATCCTTTTTTGTAAACCTAAATTTGAATGCCAGTTCTGTTAAATCTCTTAAATTTTTCAAAGAAAATTTGCACCCATTTACGTTTTTTTTATTATATTATCTAATGCCGTTTTTTTCTTTAAATATTAGTGAATATTGCTCTCATCACTTGTGTACCAATCTTTAGAATCTGTTGTCGTAGTTCTTATTAGAATTGCATTCACTTTACAGTAAAGTTATAGTTGACTTGCCTGATTTTTTGGTGTTAGAGATTTAGCCAGACTGTGCTAAAGGAAATCATATGTTTTTGAAGTTATCAAAAATACATGGTCCCCAAATAATAACTTGGAAAAAAAGGAAATGCAAATACATTGGAAAGCAAGTTATCAGAACTCTGCTGACTTTTCTACCAAGTTGAGCCAATAACATTAGACTGGCCACCAAGTGGCATGTAATTTATGGAGTACCTGTCCCCAAATGAGGGATTTACCTACTCATCAGAATTAATAAAGAAAAGTTACTTATTGATAGGGTGACATAAAATGAAAAAGGGTGAATAATTAATGGGCAAATACATAGGTCCTCTAGAAAAACAGCGGAAGACGCAGTCCGCTCGCAGAGGAAAGTGATGCCCGGCTAACTGCTATTTTAGTTGGATAGAACCAGCCAACCTAGTTAGTGTGCGTGGTAGACTGGCCACCAAAGATTTATTTTGCACAATTTCAAAATCACACCAAAAAGGAAGAACACTTGAATAAAGTAATATTTCTCGAAGATTGTAGTGACTATTTGAAAACTAAAATTATTTAAGGCATAAGTTCGATATACGGATTTTTGGCGCGTTTTTCGTCGATATGCGGTAGATTCTGGCTACCCTGATTCCCCCTCTCTTCCTTTGGGTGGCTACATTGATTTCCCCTCTTTTCCTGTAGGGTTCCACAGGCTTTTCGTTTTATGGCATTTTCCAACGGGCTTAAAAATTTTTATTTTTTTT